ACCTGACAACCCTTACAGTTTCGCTGGGGTGAAGTCCCCAAGCTTAGTGGTGGATTTCCAAGAGGGACTAAATGGAAGAAAGCAGAGTGTCATGGGAACTATGCTTTTTGGGTGGGTGGGTAGGTGTTCTGGGGTTTGTATCATAGGCACTTTTTAAAAAAGCAACTACCAACTCCGTAGGAGCAGTCCAATAAATCCTGAACTGAGTCCTAACACTTTACCTTCCCAGACCCCAGGGAACATCCTCAGCTCACCTTTCAGCACCCCCTGGCTCCCTGGCTCAGGCTCTGTCTTAGAGCAGGGGTCCCCAACCCGGTCCAGGGCCTGTTAGGAACCTGGCCGCAGGACTGGAAGTGAGCAGCGGGCTAGCCAGAAAAGGAATTCATCTGCCGCTCCCCATCGCTCGCATTACTGCCTGAACCATTCCCCACCCCCGCCCCCTCCCCCCATCTTTGGAAAAATTGTCTTCCAAGAAACCGGTCCCTGGTGCCAAAAAGGTTGGGGGCCACTGCCCTAGAGGATTCATTTTCTAGCCCCCAAACCCACCATAAGCAGATGGGAGAAGAAATCTCCACCTTCCCACCCCATCCAAAGCTGGTATCTACAAAGACTTCAAAGACAGCAACTCACAGGCAATCATTTGGAACACAACCCATGGTAAAATGATCTCAGGGACCTAGTCATACCCAAGACCCAAAACTCACCTGCCTAGCTTGGGTCCCAGAACCTTGGTTCATGGTGTGGCTGTTTCCTTGAAAATCTTTCATGTTTTGTGAAAATCTTTCATAAAATGTTTTATGAAAGATTTTATGAACCACGAGGAAGTCTGTTACCTTGGTGTTTCGATGGATTGGGTTTTCAACTTCAACACTAAGAGGGAAACCCGCAGACCCCAGAACCTCAAAGGTCAGTGCCAAAGTGTCATTTTGGCAGAACCAAATAGAAGGAGGTGACAAATGTATCCCCCTGCCGGTGGCACTTGGTATTTTACTGTATTGAGGTCATTTTCATTATCCCTTTCCTCCTTACAGATTATGAAATCCTACCTGAAGGTACGGTGTAAATTGTCCGTACATCTATAGCGCAGCAAGTGCCTCTGCAGCTCCTATTACCCGCCTATGCTTACTCTCAGAACCTGGAGCAGGAGGGACGTCCAGGAACTTGGGAGATCTGCGCCTGACTGAGGGCCCTTGGACCTGTCTGTCCAAAGTGCTCTTTGCTTCTCCCGCCAGGCTGCCGCAGCCCCACCTCCATCACTCAGATGCCCCTCCTTTCTGAGTATTCAGTGCTTCCCGGTGCAGGCAAGTGGTGACATCTGATCTGGATCCCTCCGGTCGGGTCCCAACCCGTCCTCTGCCCGGGTCGCCCCGCCCTTAGAGCCGCCACGCTGGCCTTTCTGGGAAAGTCTCTGCGGAGTCTGGAGCTAGGAAGCGGCCACGCGAAGGGCAGGAGAGGGGCGAGCGGGGCAGCGCCCGACGCACCCCGTCCACGTCCTCCTAGATCTGGGGTGGATGAGACCTCGGAGGTCTGGGGAGAGGCGAGTCTTTGAGGACTTAGGAGGTGGCAGAGCCTTCCTACCAGCTCCGCGCGTCCTCCATGCGGGTGTCTTGGTAGAGGCACCAGCGCGCTCCAGCCTCCCGCCCGTGTCTGCTCCGTGTGTCCGGCTGGGGGACGCCGCCCGGCCGCGTCGCCACGGAGGTGGGGGCATCGAGCGACAGCAGCAACTACTCAGCCCGGGGACCCACGCCCAGAAGGACGACAGCGATGGTTCTCGCGGGTGGACCCCGATGCCTCCCCACATCCCCGCACCCTCCCACCTCCGGCTTTTGCGCCCACGGGACGACACCTCAATCCTTGCGCTGTCCGGGGGGCGGGGTGCTTCCAGCCGGTGGATGCCTGTTTGATTTGCCAGATGCGCCCAGGTTCCCCGCCGGGAGAAGGAGGTGAGTGTGAGCGATGGGGCGAGAAGGAGGTAGGAAATCGAGCCTCCGCTTCTGCAAAGTACACTTTTCCGCTCTTTTTTTTTTTAATTTATTTTATTTATTTTTGGTTGCATGTGGTCTTTGTTGCTGCCCAGGGGCTTTCTCTTTCTCTAGTTGCGACGAGCAGGGACTACTCTTCGTTTCAGGGCGCGGGCTTCTCTTTGGGGTGGCTTCCCTTGTTGCGGAGCACGGGCTCGAGACGCGCGGGCTTCAGTAGTTGTGGCTCGCGGGCTCTAGAGCGCAGGCTCAGGAGTGGTGCCACAGGAGCTTAGTTGCTCCCCGGCATATGGAATTTTCCAGGAACAGGGATCGAACCCGCGTCCACTGCATCGGCAGGCAGATTCTTAAAGACCACGCCCTTCCCTTCCTTCCTTCCTAATTCCTTCCTTCCTCCCTCCCTGCCTCCCTCCCTTCCTTCTCTCCTTTCTTATTGATGAAATTCTTAAAGCGTATGTGTTGTCTAAGGCAGACTTTCTTAGCTCCCCCAAGGCGCTGGAATTTGACTGCAGATGGTGACAGGTGCAGGTGTTTTTGCGGTTCAGAGGAAACAAAATTAAGCACTATTTTCTGGGCGCTGGCGATGTGCCAGACTCACGCGCCACGGCCCGGCCCAGACACTCCAACAGGCCCAAGAAGGCGAAGAGAGAGGGAAGCATGCTGCAAAGAGAGGTAATGGGGAGACTTACTTGGCGGTCCAGTCGTTAAGACTCTGCTCTTCCAGTGCAGGGAACGAGGATTCCACCCCTGGCTGGGGAACTAAGAGAGATGTAATGGGAGCCCACACTTCCCTGGGAGAGTAAGCAGCACCGTGGGGGCTCCTGGGTGGTTTAGTACAATCCCAGCTCCAACCTGGGCTCTCACCTGGCGCCCTGCGGCCACTCTGTCTTGGAATCTCGGAGAACAGATGTTATTGCATTTCATCACTGCGAGCTCCCGTCCAAGAACCCTTGTTTCCTAAACACACTGAGGCCAGGTGTCCGCCATTCCTTGGGTGAATTTGCAAATGTTAACTGGCTTACTCACCAGTCCCCTGTTCCCCTAAGTGACCTGTTGAAGTACAGATCCATCAGTTGGGACAGGGAATATTAATCAGATGAAAGGAAAGGAACTAATTGATTATTCATATGCTACGAACCAGGTACTTAAGATCCATTCTTTTATGTAATCCTCATACTCTTAAGAGAAAAACATTTACTTTCTATATTAAGTCTCTAAAAATGAAACATACAGAAAAGTGCATAAATCGTAAGTTTGATGAAAGTGAACACATCCAGACCAAAAATTAGATGCTCTCTTAGGGTCCCTCCTCATCACTATCCACTCCCTTCTCCCTACAAGTACTATAAATAGTATCCCGACTCTGAATACCATAGGCAAGTTTGCCTGGTTTTGAACCTATACAAATGGAATCATTCACTATACAGTACATGGTGTTAGGTCCAGCTCCTTTCACTGAATGTTATGTAAGTTGCCTCCATATTGTTGTATGTAGCAGTAGTTTATTCACTTTCATTGGTGTATCATCATCTCCTGTATGAGGATGGAACAATTTATCCAGTTTCTATGGACATTGGGGTTATTTGTACTTGGGAGCTGTGATTGAAAATGTTTTCTTTCATTGTATAGTACATGGGTTTTGGCACACATAAGTATGTATTTCTGTTGACTCTGTACCTAGGAGTTGCTGGCTATTTTAGTGGGTACTGCTTAACACTTTTAGGGATACTGCCAAATACATTTTCTTAGGTGGTTGTAGTAATTTACATTCCCATCTGCAATGTATAAGAGTTCCAGGGCTTCCCTGGTGGCGCAGTGGTTGAGAGTCCGCCTGCCGATGCAGGGGACATGGGTTCGTGCCCCGGACCGGGAAGATCCCACATGCCACGGAGCGGCTGGGCCCGTGAGCCATGACCACTGAGCCTGCGTGTCCAGAGCCTGTGCTCCGCAATGGGAGAGGCCACAACAGTGAGAGGCCCGCGTACCGCAAAAAAAAAAAAAAAAAAGAGTTCCAGTTACTCCACATTCTCACCAACACTTGATTTTTGTCAGTGTTTTTAATATTAGCCATTCTAATGTCTATAGTGGCATCTCATAATACTTTTATTTTCCATTTTCCTGATGACTAGTGAGGTTGAGCATCTTTTCATGTACTTATTGGCCTCTTTTATGACATGCCTGTTCAAGTAGTTTGCTCAGGTATTCTGGATTATTTGCATTTTCATATACACTTTAGAAATAACTTATCAGTCTGTCCCCCAAAAGGCTCAGGTTTGATTAGCATTTCATGGAACCTATATGGCAGTTTGGAGAGAATGTACATCCCCAATTTAATATTGAGTCATCCAATCCATGACATGGTAATATCTCTCATTTATGTAGGTTTTCTTTTATTCCTCTCAATAATATTTTATAGTTTTCTATGTAGAATCCTTCAATATCTTTCACATGATTTGTTCCTAAGTATTTGATGTAGTTTTTGTTATTGTAAACGGCATCATCTTTTACATTTTAATTTCCTAATTGTTACAGGTATACAGAAATACAATTAATTTTTGTAAATTGACCTTGTATCTAAATTCACTTATTATTTCTAAGAGTTTATCTGTAAATGTTTTCTGTACACATGTACATGTATACGTGTACAGTACTGTTGTGTGAATAATTTGAAAGTTTTATTTCTTGATTTTCAATCTTTCTGCTTTTCATTTCCTTTTCTTGCCTTATTGTACTAGCTTGAACCTCTAGTACAAAACCAAATAGAATTGGTAATAGCAAGTATTGTTTTACTGTTTTTTTTTTTTTTTGGCTGTGCTGGGTCTTTGTTGCTGCATGCAGGCTTTCTCTAGTTGGGGGCTACTCTTCGTTGTGGTGCACGGGCTTCTCATTGAGGTGGCTTCTCTTGTTGTGGAGCACGGGCTCTAGGCGCGCGGGCTTCAGTAGTTGTGGGACACAGGCTCAGTAGTTGTGGCTCACGGGCTCTAGAGCACAGGCTCAGTAGTTGTAGTGCACGGGCTTAGTTGCTCCATGGTATGTGGGATCTTCCTGGACCAGGGATTGAACCTGTGTCCCCTGCATTGGCAGGAGGATTCTTAACCACTGCGCCACCAGGGACGTCCCGTGTCTCATTCTTAATCTCAGGGGGATCATTAGATATCATTTAGGCTGTAGCCTTTATGTAGATAATCTTTATCAGACTAATGAAGTCTCCTAATTTTAGTTTACTGGAATTTTTTATCATGAGTTGTTTAATTTTATCAAATGTCTTCCCTGCATCTATTGAAATAATCATATTATTTTTCTTCTTCATGCTGTTGATGTGATATATGGAAATGTGATACAAGCTACACATATCAGAGTTATCTCTGGGAATTTTGATGGGTTATTAAGAATGGTCCTCTCTCTTCTCTTCCATGATTATGAGCTATAACAACTATGTGGGAATTCCCTGGCGGTCCAGTGGTTAGGACACCTTACTTTCACTGCTGAGGGCCAGGGTTCGATCCCTGGTCGGGGAACTAAAATCCCACAAACCACGGGCAAAAAAACAAACAAACATGGAAGTCTGGAGCTTCTGGGCACTATCTTTCCCACCACATGAAAAGAGCTTGCCAGAAATTAAGCCCAGCCCAGAGGAAATTAAAACCAAGATATGACACGGGGGATGACAGAGAGATAAAAGTCCTCACACGGAAAAGAATATTGATGACAACATTTGAGCCCTGGTTCTAACAATGTCAGACCTTTCCCTGCATTGACAAGATATATGAACCAATGAATTCTTTTTTTTTTTGCTTAAAGTACTATGAGTCAATCTTATTTATATTCATCACATACATCTTGCTTAGAAGATTGCCCCAAGCAGATTGCAAAAATCATGTCATACTCTTGAACATAAACTGTACTTCCAGTGATGGGAATGGACATGGGGCTGGGACAGGGCACTACAGCTGAAACATGCAGTTCTAGGCAGCCTTATTCAAACAGCATGGGAGAGACGATATAAAAAACAGCACAGATCAGCATCCAGATACACCAGCACTAACGTTTATATTCACACACCTGTTAGTTCCTACTTTACCACACAATCCATTTTCCAAAACATAAAGAACTTCAGCCCATTATCCTGGACTTTGGAATGGGTACAGAGAGAATTATCCAACCTGTCTTCCTAATCACAGATGAAAATTATTCTAGGAATTTTGGGAACATGACAGATGTAAGGAACAAGAGAGCTAATGAAACATGCAAACTTTCCTAGAGCAAAGGGGGAGATTCACAACTCAGGGGACAATCAAGTCCTTCTTTTATATGGAGACTTCGTTGTCGCTGCTATGATCCCTAGCTGAACTGACACCCCAGGAGTGAGTTCTTAGCTCAGAACTCTGCACAGAACAGGAGCAGCCCCAGCATCCCTCTGGGCCCTGTCTAAGACACTGGTTTAATGAAGCCATAATCCATGCATTTGATGAGACATTCCCGAGCTGTCTGAACCACTGCTGCCCTCTTCTCATCCGGCTCTTGTTTGCCCACCACAGTCAGGATCTCCAGCAACTCACTCTCCACCAGCTTCTTGGCCAGCTCAGCATCAGCCGCCAGCAGGTTGTAGGCAATGACCAGGCCCCGGTGTTGAACTGACAGCCGGTCGTGCAAGCAAAGCCGCTGTAGTATCTCCAACCACTGAGTCGTCTGAAGGTGGGGAAGAGGATAAGGAAGGATTGGAGGAATCAGTGGGGGGGACGGAGAAAGTAGATTTTGGACAAGATAAAAAGAAGGCCTTGGCCAGGCCCAGATTCTGAGCTCTGAAAGGGGAAGCACACATCTGGTTATCTGTATGGGGCTCAGCATATGCCCACTTGAACCCCTTGGGACTAGCTGGGTGATGCCCATCTCCTTACCAGGACCAGGGCAGGAATTGAAGAACTAGAAGGAACTTGATATAATCCAATCCTTTTCATTTTATAAGTGGAGGAATTGGGGTTCAGGGAGAGGAAGTAACTTAGCTATAGTCACACATCTGGAAATAGTAGAGAATAAACATCCACACATCCATTTAAATTTTAAGCATCTTGAGAAGCAAAGGGACCTGCCCACTGCATGCCTGAGTGGAGTGGGAATGGAGGATGTTCAGAAAGGAGGATTCTAACCCTGGACGCATGCACAACGCCTGCTTCTGCCAACCCAGGTGCCCTTAGAGACATGCTCTAGGCATGCACTCCACCAGCCCTGACTTCAACTGGAATTAACACTGGAGTCTGGAGTGTATCCTCTCCTCCACCCCTCCTCCATCTCTCTCCTCCATTTCCAGATGTGAAGCAGCCCAACTACTGTACATGGGGGAGACAGGACTCTAGACCACTCTGATCACCCCCAGGAGACAGAAATGGAGCTGAGAATAGAACCAGGAGGCTTGACACTTACAACATTCAACAGACACAGAATAGAATAGTCATCAGTATGGGTTTTGGAGTCAGAGAGACTAGTGTTCAGGTCCCAACTCAGCCACTTACCAACTGTATGACCTTAGCTAAATTATTTAACCTCTCCAAGCCTCAGGAGCCTCATCTGTTATCTTACCTCATAATATTGTGATGATCTAATGATATGACACATGAAAAGAGCTTAGCATGATGGCTAGAGCATAGTAAGAGCCCATCACATAGAAGTGGACAGGAATGATGATTTTAGGCACTAATCCAACGATTTCCCCTTTGCTTCCTCAGACCTATTACCTTCCACTAGTTAGCAGAGATACCTTTCTACATACATTGCTATCAGATGGGGCGACAGATACAGAGAGGAAGAAAAGGCAAATTATTCTTCTGAGCTTCTCAGCAGACTTTTGTAAACTCTGCACTGTATCCTACCACAAGGAAAGGAAAGGAAAGTTCAGCTAGCTGTGGTAGGGTTCAGGGAAAGATTTTATGCTGATGCGTAATTGATCATGGGTCTAGTGCCTATCACTCCCTGGGACAGGAATGCAGCCAGGATTTCTGAGCCCCTTGGGAAGATGGAAGAAGTGGCCAGGAGTGGGTTGCAATCCTGAAGGATCCCAGTCCCCTCCTATCTAACTGGCTATGTGGTGTTGGGCTATTACTTTTCTGAGCTCGGTTTCACCATTGGTGAGTGAGGATAATAATAACCATGCCCACTGCACAGGGTTGTTGGGAGGATGGAATGACATAATAGGTGCAAGCACTTAGAGCAGCGCCTGGAGCACAGTAAGTGGAGGAGTCACAGAGCACCCTGCGGGGCCTGGTGACAGAAATGTGTGACCAGTAACTTCAGCAGAAGCTGCTCTAGGATAGCAGCCTGTGGTCCCCAGGCCGGAGGCACCCCACCTCCGATCTACTCAGTCAGAATATCTGGGGAAAGTGTTTTAACCAGCCCTCCGTGTGACTCTTACACACCTTACAATTTTGAAAAACTTGCGTTAGGGAAAGTGCTGAAGGCCAGGGACCAAGCAGGATGAGCTACATCTAGGAGAGAGACCCCTCCCCTGGTGCCAGGACAGCATAAGCCCCCATGGAATTTAGAGAACACACACACACACACACACACACACCCCTGCCTTAAGCTGGCTATCTAAAAGAGCCTGCCTGTAAAGCAGACTTGCTTTAATACATTTGAATTGAGATGTTTACATTTTTTTTGAGATGTTTACATTTTTCACCATCAGTGAATATGATGCCCACAAACTAAGTTCAGTTTGGTGAAATAAGGAAAATTTCATTTTGCATCCCCTTGTTTGCGGCTATGTCAATATCACTCTCATTACACCTGCTGAGATGGCCACAGTCCCACAAAGGGTCTGGTCACCACGTGAACTTAAGAGAATCTGCTGCCTCTTCGTCAAACTGTGGATGGTAACCCAACCACATCCATTCTTCTCTTGGGGAGCTCAGGGGCTCCACAGCAATAGTTAGTGCTATTGTTATTATTGTCATTATTCTTAAGTAATGACTTATAAGCACCACCAAAGTGAGTTAGCACACTTAAGGAGTCCAAATAGTGAGTGTAGGGGGTCGAATCATATAGATTCTCCTCTCTTTAGGTGGTAGGAACAGATACAGGGGCTGGCCTCCCCCAAGAAGATCATACAGGGCAGTGTGGTCTGGGGGTGGGGGGACTCCCCAGAGTCCCTAGGGCCCACTCTCACCACTTGAGTCATCTTGAAGCACAGTTTCTTATGTGCTGCTGTCAGCATGGCCAGGGCCCCCGCAGCCGCATTCTGCACCTTGTCATCATCCTCTCCGCAGAGCAGCACCACCAGCTTCAGCCGGTCATTCCCATCAGCCAGGAACCTCTCCTGTACCTATGGGAGGCGGGTACACGGCTCAGAGAAAAATGCCCCCATCTGCCCAGCCTGGAGAGGGAAAGATGCATCTGGAGCCAAATTCTCTGACCCAAGATCCCTCAGAGCTTTTCTTTGAGCATCTCACCCATGACACCTCCTCCTCCAGGAAGTCTTCTCTGACTAGTTAGATGAAAGTGCTACAGACTCCTCCAGCTAAAAGGTTAAAGAGAATAAGGGGTTCCTTGTATAGCATTCGCTGTTGCCTCTGTTTGCGTTCAGCTCTCCACCCCTGGGGAAAGGGCAGGCACAGACTCCTGAAGGGTAGATGTTGCCTGAAGAGCCATGTTTCACTTCCCTTTGGGGAAGCCTGGACTGTTTCTTCCACAACAGATGGGCCTTCAGGGTCTGCCATTAAATGACTTTGCAGTCCCTGAAGGCACAGAGGCTTGGCAAGAGCAGCAGACAGTTGGGTAGTTTACATGGTACTCAGGAGCTGCTGTACCATTCACCAGGTGAGGGATGAGGCTTCCCAAGCACCCAAAAGCCAGGAGAAGAGCCTCCTGGGGCCCAGGGCCCTGACATGCCTGAAAGCACACTGACCCCCCCCTTCCCCCCGCACCCCTCTGCTCTATAGTAAAATCTGACTGATTAAATTTAAGGGCATTTTGTTGGGTGAGGTGTCCTAGAAGGGGAACGCCAAGAGGGGTCAAAGGTCACAGCTGCCCAGGTTATAAACCTCTACCTACAACTCCCTGAAGCTGGAGCAGTGGTCCTCAGAGGTAAGAGTATAGTGATAGCGCAGTCCCCTCATGGGGCACAGGTGTGACTGGAAAGCAGCTGCCCCAAAAGGACTGCATTCCCCACCTCTTGCACTAAATATGGCCATGACCTCATTCTCATTACAGAACATGAATGGATGTAGTGTGTGTCACTTCCAGGCCACCATGGCGGAGCGCTACAGGGGTCTCTCCTGTGGTCTGTCTCCCCATTCCCCATCTGAATGGAGACCACTCTCAAGGTGGCAGAGGGAGAGACAGTTCTTTTTTTTGGGGGGGGGGTATAGTTATTGATGATTGAAGATGCCTGCATCCCTAAGTCATTGCTTGGAAATGAGCCACCTGATCCTAATGTGAGCAAGAAATGATGTGAGCGAGAAATGAACTTCTGTCCTGTTGGGACCACTGTTCATTTTGATTCGGGTTGTTGTGGCCGCTGGTGCTCCCCATCCCCTCCACTGTCTTTGGATACACTCTCTTCTCCCACGTGGCTGCCAGGCCCCCAGCCCAGCCTCAGGCCAGCTCCCTGGTGGACTGTGGTAGCTTTATTTCTTTTGATTTTAAAAGACTTTCATGGATCAGGTTTTCCTGCTATAACAGTGAGAACATCCAAGACTTGAGTTAAGAACTGAGGGGCAACGGAGTGGGTCTCACACTCGGCCACTAGCCCTGGTTGTCATGTTAACAAAGGGCCTCAGATTTCAACCCTGTTGTTACCTCTGATGAGGTTCTACCTACAGGCACAGCAGTGCTCTGCCAGGATGGAAAGAAGGAAACATTCATTCATCATATGGTGATAATTTATCCCAGTACCAGACCATGAAGCCATTGATGTGTTCTGAATTCATTTTATTTTTACAAATCCTATAATTATTCTGTGATGAACACAGTTATAGTGCATTGCGGTTTCTGTGGAAACAGCGATCGTTCATTAAATGTTAACATTTAACATATTCTAAAATCGTTTGTAACTGTTTTTGCATTTCTTCATTTTTTTATATATGTGGAGCTTCAACAGATGCAAGTGGTCTAGCCTCTCTTGACCTCTAAGAGGCCCTGGCCTCCTATATTTTTTGCTATGAGATTATTTAGTAAATAACTTGGGGAAATGGGACTTCTACACCATCCAGCCCAAGCTTTGGGGTCAAAGCCACAGCTAGGGATGATATTACTTTGTGTATTCTCCTTTGTCTCCTTTGTGCATTATATTCCTCTCGGGGTCCTTATAGGGAGGGAGGCTGTCATCTAGGAAAGATTGAGGGATTCCTGGGTTCTTTGACAAAATGTTGCCTTAAGGGCTTCCCTGGTGGCGCAGTGGTTGAGAGTCTGCCTGCCGATGCGGGCGACATGGGTTCGTGCCCTGGACCGGGAAGATCCCACATGCCACGGAGCAGCTGGGCCCGTGAGCCATGGCCGCTGAGCCTGTGCGTCCAGAGCCTGTGCTCCGCAACGGGAGAGGCCACAACAGTGAGAGGCCCGCGTACCGCAAAAAAAAAAAAAATGTTGCCTTAATACCACTGTAACAGCCCCCAATCTAGCGCCAGGCCCTGACCTGTGGCCCGACTCTCCATGCCTTGATCACTCCCATCCGGAGCCCCCTCACCTCCTTGTTCACCACCATGTTGCACATGCACTCTGTGGCTGCCTGCCGCAGCTGGTCATGGTTCTCAAACATGTAGTTCTCAATATCTGGCAAGGCCTTCTCCTTAAAGATCTTCTGCCTAGGGTTTGAGGGGTGGAAGAAGAGAGGCTGCTGAGTCCTCTGTAATGAGCATTTGGGGTTTTGGCCACCCAAGGGCCATTCCACATCCTCAGCCAGCATGGTTTAGATGGCAGTAATCCCACCCCCGGCTCCAGGAGGGGTATCCAATGACATAGCACAGCATCCTGGCCATAGAAACAGGGTCTGGGATGAACATGTCACCCAGCCAGAGATTCTCTTGTATTATTGCTGGGGAATGTCTTTCTCTCTCCTGCTGGAGATGAAGCCAAGAAGATGTGAAGTCTGGAGCAACCCTCATGTGATCATGAGAGAGGGAAGAGCCCGTCTGAAAATTAAGACAATACAGACAGAAGAGGTGGAGAGGTGTAGGATCTAGGACAGCTTTGTAACGCCTGCATCAAGCCGCACCTGAATCTGGTTTATCCCAGATGAGTCATTAATGACCTGAGTCATTAAATTCCCTTTATGCTTAAACCAATTGGAGTTGAGTTTTCTGCCACTTGCAATCAAAAGAATTTCAACCCAATCCCACCATCCCCCTGCTTCTGGGGATGTGTGGGGACACTTTATCCCCACCCATCCACCTGATATCTTTTCTACTACTTCAGAAGGAAATGCCTTTCCAGTCTCCTTTGGCTTTGCACATTCACTGTAGTCTTTCCAAGTGCTAGTTCAAATCTTTCCCACGGTCGTTTCTACCCACTGCCTTCGAGCCTGTCCTCAGAGAAGAGCACACACGGTACCTGTGACATTTCCACCAACACTTCATGGGACACCTCTCTCCACCCCTGCTCCCTCTACGCCCCACTCACCGGAGTTTGTCACTCCGCTCAGACAGGTTGGTGAGGCCTAGGAGAGCCTCATAGTTCTGGAGCCCATCCCTCTGTGTGTTGAGGAGACTCACAAGGGGCCGCACTACTTCGTACACCTGTGGAGGGAGGCGTCAAGGAGTGGTCAGGTGGAGACCATGTCCCCCCAGTCATTTACAGGTGCCCAGCTCTAGAATTTCCAATGCACGTGCCCACCCATTGTCTGATTCAATCTTCACAATGATCCTGAGGGGCGGGATTATTTCCTTTACTTCGTAGGTGAGATAACTGAGTTTCCAAGGGGACGGCCTTATTCGTCAGAGGTAGAGCCAGACCTGGGATCCACGCACCTCCAATTCATGGCCCTCTTTGTGACAGCACCACGCCCTCTCCCAGGCCAGGGGTAGGGTGGCAAGGGGAAAGGCCCCTGGGAGCAGACTCCTCCCATCACTGCCACCCTACTGCCCCCATCACCCACCCGCTCCCCAGGGAAGGCGATGTCCGGATTGGAGACTGCAGCGATCTTCGCTAGAGCATGGGCTGCCTTCACCTTGCCCACGTCTGTGCCCTCCAAAGCCAGGGGAATCAGGGCCTGCAAGAAAGGGCACAGTCACCCCTCGGTCACAAATATACAGAGGCCTCTCTCCCTAGCGTCCCTCTCCAACTGCTGTCCCATCAGAAGTTCAGGAAGACTGTAATAGAGTCAACTCTTGAGCATCATGGAAAACAGTTAAATTCTTAATCACGGATTCACTCCCCTTGGTTCCCAGCACACATGGAGATCTTCGCCCGCCCTCTTCCCCACCCATCCATACGTTCATGTGGCTTTTGGAAAAATAAATCAATCATTTTTTACTTTCTGACTGAGTCAAACCTAATCATAATAGCAGCCATTCACTGAGCACCTCCTATGAGCCAACACTTAAGTGTATTTTCTCTAATCCTTGTGACATTCTGCAAAGTGAGTGTGTGATGTTCTCCCTTGTTTTACAGACGAGGAAACTGTGACTCAGGGAGATTAAGTAATTTGCCTGAAGTTGCACAGCTAAAAAGGGGACAAGCAAGGACTCGATGACAAGCCTTCTATAGCAAAGCCCAAGGTCTCTATCTGCACCAGGGTTCCTTCCAGTAACAAGGAGGATAAATGGGATCCCACAGTAAATCCCATGACACTTCATAGACTTAGGCACTGACAGCACAGATACCTTAATGACTGTATTCCAGAGGTCGGGTTGGGGCAGGGGGTGCATTATTCTTGGGCCAGGCAAAGAACGTGCACACACAAATACATACAAAGAGACACACACATACACAAATGAAGAGACACAGAGACACACACAGACACACAATTACACACAGACACACATAGACACATATACACATACATACACACAGAGAGATACACACACAGACCTACACACACGTACACAAGTGTGCTTCACCCTGGTGAAGCACCTTCTAGGATGGCAAGGACCCCTTAGCCCGCTCAATGTACCTTGCCACCACCTTGAGCCACGATGGTACCTCGGTCCTTTGGGTTGTCACACAGTGCCAGGAATACCCTGGAGAGCAAGGATAAAGGACATTCAGTGCATGAGCACACGCTTCCCAGGCATCAGCAGGCCCAGTGAAACTCTGGGAAGTGCTGCCAGTGAGCACGTGCCCCAGAACTAACCTTGGGAAGATACTGCCATGGACATAAGTGGCTGAGGAGGAAGTGAGGCCAGATGTAGCTGCAAACAGCGGCCCCATCCCTGTTTAGGGAGATACCAAATGGCTCCCTGCTGCCCACCATCCAGGAGAAACTCTTCCACATGGAAGCACCCCAGGACCACCATGTTCTGGCCCTTGCCGTCCTCTCTGGTCTTATCTAGCACCACTCTCTACTGTGCACTCCATGCTCCAGACATATCCCTGGAGAACCCCGTCCTCATTCACTCATTCTCCCTCCATCCTCAGGGTCTTTGCATACGCTGTTCCCTCTGCCGGGAACCCTTCCTTCTGCTGCATTTGAGTGGCTCCTTTTTTTCCTTCAGGGTTCCCCTGAGTTGTGACATCTTCCAGGAGGCCTTTCTAGCTGCCTACCCACCTACCCTCCAGTCTGGCCAGTTGGGTGCCACTGCTCGTGCTCCAGCCAGCCCTCTGTATGTCCCCCATCGTGGCATCTGCCGTGTCGTGTGGTAACTGAGCCTGTGTGCCTCCCGTCAGGCTGCACAGAAACTGTGCCTTTCATCTTTGGCATTTCAGGGCCTGGGAACCAGGTCACCAGAATGGACAGTTACCTCTTTCCTCACAATGCAAAGTTGCCCCTGTGATGACCTGCCCGCCATGTCACTTTTCGGTGTTGATCCCCATCAGCCTCCTCTTCAGGCCCCTAATGGCTCATTCCCTCACTTACTCCCCACCCCCACCATCTCTATCTCCCCACCCAGCCTCCTGCCTCCAGGCCCCTCAGACCCCAGCCCTGAACTGCTGCAGCCGTACCTGGCCAGCAACTCTTTGGTCTGGTCAGTGAGGATGGCATTGTCGGCTTTCACCATGCAGGCCAGCACTGAGATGACACCGGCCTTCAGAAGCCGCTTCACCCGCATGTCCACAAAGTCCTTCTTGTCCTGGGGAGATGAAAAGATGGCAAGGAAATCAATCCCAAAAGAGAAGGAAGATCATCCAAAACCCTAGATGACCTAGGTGTTACTTTCTTGCAGAAGGCTGGCTTTCCATTAGGCTATGCATGGGGGTGGGGTGGGTAAACAGAGGTGGGAGGGGAGAGAGAACAGATAAAGCTGACCTAACAGTGGATTGGGTCAGCCCCAGGGTTGAATAGTCTCTACAGATAATCCTCAGGGTGGCTGGGAAGAGGCAATCTCTAGAAGCCACATTAGAACTTCATGGCGGCAGAACATGCTCTACACCCTTGCCTGCGTGAAATCCTATGCAGCTTTAAAAAATGATTCAGAGAACGACATAGCAGTGTGGAAAACATCTAAAGTATTTTCCCCAAATTGGGTACAAAATAATAACTACATTCTGATTATAACTATTTTTATTATTTTTTCTTTTTTAAGTAATTATTTATTTATTTGGCTGCGCTGGGTCTTAGTTGAGCCACGTAGGATCTCTAGTTTTGACATGCGAACTCTTAGTTGCAACATGTGGGATCTAGTTCCAGGACCAGGGGTCGGACCCGGGTCCCCTGCATTGGGAGCACAGAGTCTTAGCCACTGGACCACCAGGGAGGTTCCCTGATTATAACTATTTTTTTTAAAACGCACAGAAATAAAGAGTCTCTGGTAGGTGATATAATACACCAAAATAGTTCTCAGAGGGAGATGATGTAATTGCAAGTAGCTGTTTTCTTTTCTCTACTGTCACATTTGTGTTTGTTTTGCAACATGGTTATATTACTTTGGTCATTTTTTTAAAAATCTAAATGTTTTATTGGCTGGAAATACAATGCATATATATTCATATACAAACCACATACAAAGTATGCCGTTGCGTGCAGTGAATCATTGTGGGAAGGGTCCCAAGGGGATTTGTGACACCTGGGCTGCCCCTGATCCCCCGTTCCTCCGCTTCTCATTATTCGTACTTAGCACCCATATCCCCAAATCCAGATATCCCAGAAAATAAAATTTGTATAAATGTGGAAGACATGAAATACAACTAACTGTCAGATGTCCATGAAATCAACAACATAAATTGGAAGACGTTCATCCTGGCTCCATTTGGTTTCTCCGACTTTAAATCGTCGATTCCTCCTCCCCCTCCACAGAACATTAACACTAAGAAAAACACAAGTGCCACCTAGTGGGAGAAACTGACCATGATCCTTTTCAATTTCTCTGCCTCTTCCACCGAATCCTCCCAGACACACAGGCACGGCGCCTGAACATCATTAACTGTCCTTCCCACCTCTCTGGCGGTCCGGTGGTACAGCTCCCCTCCAGGCCATCCCCTTCCCCACCTTGGGGTGCTCCTCGGGCACGTGCTGCTTGGAGAACTTGGCCAGCTGCACCAGCTCTGGGATGACCTCATTGACGTCGTAGCTGTTGGTACAGTTCACCAGGGTGGTGGCCACCGAGTACAGGATGGTCTTGTCAGGGGTCTGGAGACAGGAGGTGGGGGATAGGAGGGGACAGGCAGCAAGGAAACCTGAGAACAAACCACTGCCTCCAAGAGGCTCCCTCACAGGCAGACTGGTTTGGGAGGAGCGTGGCTGGCGTGGCCCCGAGGGAGAGGAACCAGCTCTGCTCACACAGGCTCTGCTCCCCTCAGCAGCACCTCAGAGCACCAACGGGAGTCCTCTCAGTGCACTTTTTGCTTTGTGCCCCTTTCAAAAGCCCAGCCCCATAGGCTTTCCATCAGACTGCGGTGGGATAGGGTGGGAGCTGGACACCCTTTGGTGGAAACTCCCTCCCACACTTTCACCCTTTAGTGGCGGCAAAGAGCGGGGGAAGGGGGGCGCGGGGGGAGGTGGCCCAGCAGAGGAGGAAGGACATCTGGGAGGGACTGGGAAGGAGGGAGGGGCCCAGAAGAGGCCAGGTACTGCCCCTCGGTCCCTCAAAAACCTCAACTCCCTGGGGGGGGAGGGGGGATCTCAGGAAAAAAATACCCTCATCTTATTCATCCTCCCACTGCCTGGAAGGCATGAAGAGTTGTGAGCCCATATTACAGTCATGAAAGATGAGGGCCAGACAGAGGGAAATGACCAACCCAGGTTTACAGGAAGAGTAGGGGGTAGAGTCAGGATGAGGACTGTGTGTCTAATTTCCCACGCTCAGCGGACAGCCCCGTGAGCCTGAATCCAGCAGATCCTGAGGCCAGAGGCCAGGGCCACACTCGCCTTGGCCAGCTCCAACATGGCCTGCAGGGCAGGGATGTCCTGAACAAAGTCATCCTTCACGTCGGCGTCCAGCGTGAGGTAGGCCAGGCCCTCCGCTGCCCATCGCCGGGTCCGGGTATCTGTGGACGTGTTGCACAGCCACCTGGGGGAGGGGAGGCAAGGGTGCTGGGACTGGGGCAAGAGTGAAACAATTCAGGGCAGCAGGTGGGCGGCTTTTTAGGATCTGGCATCCACTAGGGCACATCCCTGAGAGGAGATGGTGGGCTTGAGGAAATAGGACCCCCTTACTTGCGGCACTGTTTGGCCAGCTTCTCTGTCGACCCTTCTGCAAACTGCCTGAGACCATAGTCTGTGCCGCCAGCAGAGCCAAGTTTACAGAGTCCCTGGGGAGAAGGGGAGATGTGTAGGATCAGAGACACCAAGGCCTGGGGACGAGGCCTTGCTCACACAGGTCCCTGTGGCTGGAACACTTTGCCCCTTTTCTTTGCCTGGATAAACCTGTCTGCATCCTACAGAACTAAGGGCAGGCGTCACCTTTCTGAGATGCCTTCCCTGAGGCTTCCAGGTTAGGGTAGATGCCCACAAAGCTGGAGGTTTTCAACTTACCCTTTTCCCCCACCATTTTGCCCACGTAGATGTTTTGTGTTTGTCATTTTGAAAAATCAGCACAGGATAATACTAACCATATCTGTAACCACAACGATAAAACTTATGGCACAAAAACTGGCTGTGAAATCATATTTTTGTTGGGGGGCAGATTCAGCTGTGCAGATTTTTACCCAGGAAAAATTGGACTCTGCAGAAGCTAAAATTAGTTTTTTTTTAATTGATATGAACCAAAAAAAAAACCCCACAAACAAACAGATCAGTGACTCAAATCTTCACTGTAATTGCTGTCAAGAAAAAGGAAGTTACTTCTATAAAATGAAAATGGAAACAAGGTGCTATATAGAAACCGATTAAGGAAACAAACTGAGTTTTTGGAGTTTGCACTGAAACTACTTGGTGGACAAAAGCTCATCAGTGTTTGTCGTTCAAAAGCATCGAGGAGATCATTGTTAGGGTTACATGGCAGGGTCCCGCATCCTGAATCCACGTTCTCACAGCCTCCTGCTTATCACCCCGATCTGCAGAGGCCTGTGGGTGGATCTGGGTGCTTAGGGCGTGGTCTCCTCAAGGACAGGGACCACGTCTCATTCATTCTGGTGTCCCTGATGCCCGGCACAGTGTCTGGTACCCAGCGCACTCACCACCAGTGTGCGGATCTTGATCTTCTCGTTTTTGGTGGTCTTGTAGATCTCTTTGAGCAGTGACACGCCGTTGGTGATGATGAATGTGGCACGGCTGAGCTTGGTGGAGGCATGGATGAGGGCCTCCACGGCCACCAGCTGGTCTGCTTCACGCTCTGAGCCGCACAGAGCCACCATCATCTCCATAACTCCTTTCAGTCCCAGCAGCTGATTGCCCAGGTCAAAGGGGCCCTGCAGGATCCCTGACACCGTCTGGATGGCAATCACATTCTTGTCCATGTCCTGGGGGTCAAACTTGCCCCTAAAACAGAGGGCCAGCGTGGTCAAGAGAACTGGCCAAGGGGAATGGGAGGAGTGTGAGATTTGGGGACAGACAGATTTGTTTTTGCATCCTAGATACACCACTCATGTGCTGTGTAACCTGGGGCAATTCACTGAACCTCTCTGAGCCTCAGCTTCTTGATCTGGAAACTGAGGATAGCACTACTACTTCTCAGAGTTACGATGGGGATAAATGAAGTAATAGATGTGTTCCTCAAGAAGCACACTCAGATGGGGACTGACACTCGGGAAGTTTATTTGGGAGAGCTCTTGGGATCAACACCTGTTGGGAAAGGGAAGAAATCAGGCCTGGATGGAGGGAGGCACTGGACTGAGATGCGGTTGTGACAAAGCCTCAGCTTGCAAAGAGTTCCAGAGCCAAGACACCCTTCAAAGTTGTTCCAAGTTGGGGTGAGGGACAAGTCATTGGATGCTGGCTTCCCTGAGAAGGGTGAACAGCTGTCCTCAGCCAAGGCAAGTCCCCAAAAAGAGGTGACAGGTGAGAGCTGTCAGCCAACAGGCTTCCCAGAAGCTGGGGTGTCTGGTGGGACAGGACAGCAGCCACCACAGCACAATAGGGCTACCAGGATGCCTGCCGCACGACCTGACTCTGCCATGTAGCTGAGTCATCATGTAGCCTGAGCCAGTCAATCCCCTGTCTGGTCCAGTCCCTTCCCCTAACGAGTCGGGGGTGAGGGGTAGACTAGAAGAGCCAGAAGTTTCTGCCTTCCTTTCAAAGTCTACTATCATCTACTCTACAGAAGGATCTCTGTATGAGGACGTCAGAGGTGACACACCTTCTGCTCCTTCCGTGATCTGCCCAGGTTGATTTGATGTGGGGAATCAGGGCAGATGTGCACAGTGCAAATGCAGATGTGTATAAATGAAAGAAGAGAGCAGGGCTTCCCTGGTGGTGCAGTGGTTACAAATCCGCCTGCCAGTGCAGGGGACAGGGGTTCGAGCCCTGGCCCGAGAAGATCCCACATGCCGCAGAGCAATTAAGCCCGTGCATCACAGCTGCTGAGCCTGTGCTCTAGAGCCCACGAGCCACAGCTACTGAGCCCGCGTGCCACAACTACTGCAGCCCGCGTGCCTAGAGCCCAACTACTGAAGCCCGCGTGCCTAGAGCCCGTGCTCCGCAACAAGAGAAGCCACCACAATGAGAAGCCCACACACTGCAACACACTGCCCGCACACCGCAATGAGAAGCCCGCACACTGCTCGCCTCAACTAGAGAAAGCCCATGTGCAGCAACGAAGACCCAATGCAGCCAAAAATAAAATAAATTTAAAAAAAAAAAGCTAAGGAAAATATCATAAAAAAAAAAAAAGAAAGAAGAGAGCATGGAGCAAGAGTCAGAGACCTGGGCTCTGGTCCCACATCTGCCTCTGGCTGGGTAACTGGGCAAGTCCCTCTGGGGGAGAGGGATCAGCCTTGGGAGCTCCGGGCACCCCTCCAGCTCTGAGAATCCGTGTCCTGTGCCTCATCGTCTTCCCACTCGGTGCCGGGGAACCAGCCTTGCATAATTAGTTGGGGTCTGCCCTTTAAACTGGTTCCTTATGCCAGCTGGTGCCTGAACCTCCACCCAGCCCCTGGCCCCTAATGAAGCACCTCCCTGGAGGGGGGAGGGGAGTGGCAGCCTCAGGCACCATTTGTTGAAGGCGGTGACCCTACCCACTCAGTGTCAGGTGACCTCAGAGGCAGCATGTACAGGCTGACCAGGAGGGGGCCTCGTTCAAACGGGGACTGGCTGGGAGATAGTTACCGGATGCTGAAGCTGAGGTCGAAAAAAACTGGAGAAGCCCTGAGGAGCTTTAAGTGACACAAAGTCGGGATCAGGAGAAGCTACAGGATGGAGCCAACTTCGCTGGGACCCAAATCCAGGAAGCTGAGAACAGTTTTTACATTTTAAAGGTTTTTAAAAAAAAAAAATTGTGATAGAGACCTACGTGTCCCACAAAACCTAAACGTACTCTCTGGCCCTTTACAGGAAAAGTTTGCCAACCCGTGGAATAGAGAAAGGAAAGCAGAGTGAAGGCAGGGTCTTCACCTTCCCAAGACTCACCTGGTGATTTTTAAACATGCAGCTTCCTGAGCCACAGCCCAGACTACTGGGTCATGGGGTGGGGTGGGGGCGGTCCCAGAAATCTGAATAGTTTCCAAGTATGAGGATCATTGGAATAAAGGAGGGGGAAAGCCAGCTACCATGAGGAGAGATCCACATGGGGAGGAACCGTGGCCTCCCACCAAGAGCCAGCACCAACGTGCCAGCCACTTGAGCACGCCATCTTGGAAGCAGATCTTCCAGCCCCAGTCCAGCCTTTGGATGACGGCAGCCCAGGCCAACATGCGACTGTCATTTGTAAGCCCCAAAGCCAGAACTACCCAGCTGACTCTCGGCCACACTGCTGTCCTATTGTGAGATAACACATGATACTTCTTGTTTTAAGCTGCTAAATTTGGGGGTAATGTGTTACACAGCCATCAATGACTAATACAGAGCCCGACGGAAACGGAGCAGGACCCTATGGTCCTTCCCCCACCATGTCTTCCGCCTGCCTTTTGTCTGTGGAAAACGTTTAGCCAAACAAGTTTAATCAGAGAAGTGAGAAAAGGCAGAAACAGAGGAAAGCAGTCAAAGGAGACCAAATAAAAATAGTCATTAGGCAAAGTCCAGGGCCTTTGGTTCCCCTCAAGGGCTATAGATAATATTCTGAGCCGTATCCTGTTAGCTGTCTTATAGAGACTGAAACCTTCACCAGGTGGAAGAAGTTAACTACATGATGACCAGGCTGTAGCCGTGACATACGCTGCCACAGTTCTGAGAACGGGCCTCAAAGAAATGGGAACAAACTGACCCTGGAACTAAAGACTAACTGTACCTAAAACAATCAAGATGACACTGATCCGACCACTGCATGACTAATTTCAGGATGACTGTCAGAGCTGACTGTGCTGTTTCTGCCTGTAGCCCCTCCCTCTGTCTATGAAAGTTCTTGCCCCCTGATTGTCTGGTGGGGCGGTGGGGGGAGTCAGCCTTTGGACAGGCGTATGCCCTCCTCCCACCCCCAGGTTTCCAGCCTCCGAAATAAAGCAAACTTTTCCTTTCCACCAGCCTTGCCTCTTTACCGGCTTTAGAGCAACCAGTCCTACACTTGCAGTTACTCGACCCTCCAGGAAACTCACGTGATGTACTCCTCGCAGATCTTGCGGAAGTGATCACGCTCCGGGTCACAGCGCAGATCGTCATAGAGCTTGTTGATGAGGATAGAGGCCAGCATTCGGGTGTTGTCAGTCAGGGGCAAGCAGGACGGCAGATCTGGAACCTGCCCCACTACCTTCAGGATCTTCCTCAGGCCTGCAAGACAGACAGCAGCAAGTGTAAGATGCTTGCCGGGCTCTGTCCTCACAAACGCTCCTTCTCGCTCAGTCCTGTTTTATCACCAGAGCTCTTTAGGCAGCATGTAGCTTATCCAACGTGAAGGGCACTGGGATGGGGCCAAGAGAGCCAGGTTCTACCCCTGACTCTGCCCCTACCTGAGCAATTAGCCTCCTGCTATGGGCTTCTGTTTTCAGCATTTACAAAGTCAGGACTATTTGATCTCAGAGGACTCTACCAGTGCTAACATTCTGTGGGTTGATGTATAATCTTCCTCAAATGCTATTTTATGCTCTCTTTTCCCCAGACTTCAGTTTCTTTTTTGGTAAAATGGGAACAATACTGCCTTCCTCATAGAGTTTGAGGATTCAGTGAGATAATGTATGGAAACTGCCTAGTGCCATTCCAGGCACATCATGACACTCAATAAATATTTATTATTTGTTTAGTAAATATAACATTTACTATTTATGGTTATTATCCCTTCTCTTCTCTTCTGTTGAAGAAACCTCAGTGGCTTCCTATTACCCACCAGGCTAATTCGACCATTAAGTATTTGTTGAATAAATGAATGAATAAGTGAACGAATAAACAACCACCTTTTAGGTACTGGCTACCAAAATAAAAGACAATCCTGACATCAAAAAGCTCACAATACAGGGAAGGGAAGACAGATGTATAAAGATTACAACAAGGTGTAAATAAGGACAGAACAGTGACACCGCAAATGGTGTGATTCACTCCAACAAGGCAAGAGTTTCAAGTTATTTGGAGCACTTACTATGTGCCAAGAGCTTTCTATACATTATCTCATTTAATCCTAACATTGACCCTACTGGTTAGTATGAATCATTATCGCCATCGATCAGAGCAGAAAACCAAGACATGGAGAAGCCAAGTAACTTGCCCAGGATCACATAACTGGCAAGTGACATAGCAGCAACCCTCTCCCAGCAATGTCTGATTTCAAAGCCCACGATGTTAACTGTTACACTACACTGCTGTGGGGACAATAGCTTGATTTCAGAGCCAGGTTGTAGAGGTTGGCTAGGAGCTGGTCAGACCTTGGGTGGGACAGGTAAACGGGAGGGGAAACATCCTAGGTAAACATTGGGAGGCATGAAACTCTGGATGTAGCAGGGAATCAAAAGTGCTTGGCATGTATATGCATAGCCGATTCATTTTGCTGTACAGAAACTAACACAACATTGTAAAGCAACTATATTCCAATAAAAATTAATTTTAAAAATGTAAAGATCGGGCTTCCCCGGTGGCGAAGTGGTTGAGAGTCCGCCTGCCGATGCAGGGGACACGGGTTCGTGCCCCAGTCCAGGAAGATCCCACACGCCGCGGAGCAGCTGGGCCCGTAAGCCATGGCCGCTGGGCCTGCGCGTCCAGAGCCTGTGCTCCGCAACGGAAGAGGCCACAACAGTGAGAGACCCGTGTACCGCAAAAAAACAACAACAAAAAAAAAAAAACTAAAGATCGAAAATAAAAGTGCCTGGCAGTAAATTTTGTGCTGTGTATTTTAACACACACACAAAAGCACTGGGAGGGCTGGAGAGTCATTGGAAGGGGCCTGATGAACAACGCAAAGCCCCCAGCCTGGCTGTCAAAGGCCTTCATCAAATGCACCTGCTTTACCTCCCCAGCCTCACCCCCTACCCTTCCCTTCCACTCTGCCCTTGCCTTGAGCATCTCATCCTCTTTTGCTAGAACACTCTGGACCTCCTCCTTGTCCATGTCTGCCCCTCCCTGAACCCAAAAACTTACTTCAGGCTTGACATCCTGGTGGTTCCCCTACCCTGCCTGGTGGCTCCCCTACCCAAGTCTTCAGCCCAGTTTTCAGATACTGCTCCCCATCCCACCCCCATCCTATAAACCATGTGGTTGGGCCTAAATCCTAGCGCAGAGAAAAGTCAATTGTCAATGCCCAGGCTTTGTAATACATGAGAGAAGACCAAACTGGGATGGGGGGGAGGGTGTTGAGAGGGGGAGGGTTAAAGCACTAGAGTAATTTGTTCAAGTCTAAGCACTTACACGTGAACTTTGCTGAGATCTGTGAAAACCAAACAGGGGAAGTGCTGTATCAAAAGAGAATAAAGGTAAAGCTGCTATAAGCTGACTTGAACCTTTTAGAACAAGGTCTGGTCTATATGTCATTATACCTGTGGGAGAATTTATCACAGCAGATCATAAAGCCACAGGTATGATTCTTGAACAGTTGAACAAGGTGATTTAGGAGAGGGGTGATGCCCTGGAGCTGACAAATTTAGTGACTATCTCCTGGCACATTGTTACTGGACTTTGTATAACGTACACAGGTGCCATTTCTCCCTCTGGAAGGCCTGTATTTTGCCATCCTGAGACTTCAGGAACGTTACCCCTTGTTGGTGGAGTCTTGTTTGGGTTTTTTTGGCACTTGCCTCGCTTGTCAGGAAACTCCACCCAGATGTTTTTGAGTGTGTTCTGGGTGTGTTCAGGTCCTGAATTCAGAGCCTGGACCTATGCCTTCACCAGCCCACTGGTGGATCCTAATATGCTAATGACTTTTCCTGGCTTTTCAGTTGGAAATGAAGACTTCTCCCAGACAAGAGCTGCACCCCTTCCACCTTCTGCTGGTTGCCTGGTACCCTGGTGCCCACTGGAAAGGCTGGCATGAGCCCCAGACCCTCCCACCTCCTCACCGTTATCCACCACATAGATGGTACGTGAGTTGTCGTGAATGGCGAGGTCCTTCCTGGGGACGTTCTTATTGAGCAGGTTCAGGGCCTGATCCCTGCCCTGGCCAGACACCTTCTTACTGACCAGCATGTCAAGCAGGTGGTTGGTGATCTGCTTCAGGTCCTTCTTAGTGTCTGAGGAAGGAGAGGACAGGGGTAAATAGAGAGGACCAGGGTGTCTCAGGTATATAGGACCAGGGATGGCAGAGGCTTCTGGAAGGACTCTGGAAATATTGAATCCACTGCTTCCCAGATTTTGGAATTTCCTAGGAGAGTATAGTATCTCACTCCAAAAAAGGGGGGGAGATCTCTAGACAACACCCCCAAGGGGTCCTCCAGCCGCTCTGAACACCGACTTCTATGGCAGCCCATTCCATTCTTGAACAGTCTGGTTCTTAGAAAGTTCTTCACTCCCAGGCAACGATGGGCAGGGATCCAAAGGTGCTTCGTGCAGTTTTTAATACACTGATTTAATAAACTGTTTTCCAGAAAGGAAATTGACACTCCTTTATAGACATTTTACTCCCCGCAGATTCAGACATGCTGGGAGCCTGAAATTCAAGCATTTGCCTGGGATGCCAGGTCTTCCCTGCCCACTGGGGATCTTAAAGGCAAATGCCTCCTCCTGCTTTTGCGGTCTGAACTCTCTGGAACTTGGAGATTTTTATCCTCATTCTAGATTGTAGCCCAAAGGCAAGCAGGCAGGCAAGTAGAAAAGGAAAGATCTCCAAGCCATGTCATATAAATAAATGATGAAGGAATGGGGCTATCTAACTGGTGAAGGAAAGCCACAAATGTACATGATAGCTTGTCTTCAGATAAAAGTATGTGAGATAACAGACTTATTCTGTGAGGTTCCACAGGGCAGAACAGGGACCAGAAGTGAGTGGGATTACAAGGGGACAGATTTGAAATCAATATATGGAAGAATTATTCAGCAGAGATGTCCAACAGCTCACTCCCTCCGGAGGAAGTCATGGCCCCCAATGAACCACACCTCTCAGTATTCATTCTCTTGGGGAGTCCCCTCCCACACTGGCCCTGGATTGCTCATGTGACCTTACGGCACACTCAGAGGCTTAAAAAGCACTTACACATTGGGGCTTGTCCATTCAAAATGCAGCCACCATGTTACATAGACACCCAAGCTGCCCACCAGAGAGGCTACAAGGAGTAAAACCAAGATACCCTGGCCAGCATCTCCAGTTAACCACCAGCCATCCGAGTGAAGCCATGTTGGACCCTCCAATAATTCTAGTGCAGAAAAGGATCCTTACCATAGTAAGTCAGAACCACATCAAGAATTCAAGACTCCAAGCGGGTTAATTACTAATACACAAAGAGCTCTTAGGAATCAATAAGAAAAACACTGATACTCCAACAGAGGAAATAGATAACAACATGAACAAACCATTTGAAGACAAAGAAATCCAAATGGCTAATAAGGATAAGGAAAACTAATGTCTAATTCGTAAATTTTAAAAATTCAAACAGATAATTATTACCTACTGAATAGGAAAATATCTTTAAGAATGATAGTATTTGAATCTGGTGAGAATGATTTGAGGCTGGAACTCTTATCATCACTTGGTGAGAGTAAAAACTGATGCACCCTCTCAAAAGGAGTTCGAAAGTAAGGTAGTGAAAGACCTTTAGTTATGTTCATAGCATTTAACTTAGTACTCCCATTTCTAGGAATTTGTTCCAAGAAAATAATTACAAATGTAAATATAGGTTTATGTTAAGAATAGCTACCGAAGTGTTTTTTATAAGTATGAAATTAAAGGCAATCTAAATCTCCAACAATATAGAGCTGATTGATGAGTTATGATATATCCATACAATGGCATGTAATGAAATTATTTAAGATCAAGCTTTCTATGAGTGAACCTGCCTCTGTGACCTTCCCAGCCAGAACAGGAAGTTGTAAAATGATGTCTAGGACCTGGATATACAGGAAGAAGCCTGAGTTTGTATGTGCATATATGCAGGAATGAGACAAATGTTAAATTAATAATTATTCAAGTAAAAAGGAATCCTCTTTAAGAATATTAAACGGTATGCAATAGTAATATAATGCTCAGAAAGGAGAAAAACACAAAAATATCCATAGCTGAATCCCAACTTTGTTAAATAGATATTTATATGGAGGGATAGAAGAAAGACTGGAAGGGGGACTTCCCTGGTGGCGCAGTGGTTAAGAATCTGCCTGCCAATACAGGGCATGCGGGTTCGATCCCTGGTCCGGGCAGATCCCACATGCCGCGGAGCAACCAAGCCCGTGCACCACAACTATTGAGCCTGTGCTCTAGAGCCCGTGAAACACAACTACTGAAGCCCGCGCGCCTAGAGCCCGTGCTCCGCAACAAGAGAAGCCACCGCACTGAGAAGCCCACGCACCGCAATGAAGAGTAGCCCCCGCTCGCAGCAACTAGAGAAAGCCCTTGCGCAGCAATGAAGACCCAATGCAGGCCCAGAAAATAATTAATTAATTTAAAAATAAATAAAATACTTTATAGAAAAAAGACTGGAAGGATACACATGGCAGTGATAGTAGTGGTTATCTGGAGGGGTGATTACAGGTTGTTGGGATTTTTTTCATCTTTACATATTTCTAAAATTTTCCACATTTCTCCATAAGCCCCTGTTACTTATAAAAATTGTTGTAAAACATGCATAAAATAAAATTTACCATTTTAACTGTTTTAAAGTATGCAGTTCAGTGGCATTAAGCACATAAACACCGTTGTGCAACCAGCACCACAATCCATCCACAGAACTTTTTTCACCTTGCAAAACTGAAACTCTATCCCATCAAACAATTCCTTATTTCCTCCTCCCCCGCCCCTGGCAACCATCATTCTACTTTCTGTTTCTATGAGTTTGACTGTTTTCGAAATCACATATACATGGAATCATACAGTATTTGTCTTGTTGTGACCAGCTTATTTCACTTAACATAGTGTCCTCGAGGTTTCTCCATGTTGTAGCATGTGTCAGAATTTCCTGCCTTTTTAAGGCCAAACAATACTCCACTGTATAGATGGACACCACATTTTGTTTCTCCATTCATCCGTCGATAGACACTTGGGATGCTTCCACCTTTTAGCTGTTGTAAATTATGCGGCTGTGCCTCTGTTACTTTTATCATCAGAAAATAAATGTAAAAATATAACCAGGCCACCTCCACATGCACGGAACGCCCAGTCTAAGGTGGTAACTGACACTTCCTTACCTCCACCCCCTTGAACCAAGGCTGAAAACTGTTTCCTACCCAGAACCAGGGCCTCTTCCTTCCCTCGATGCTCTCGCTTGTCCTCCCCTGACAGAGCGTCGATGATGGCCTGGAGCAGGTTGCAGACGGTCAGAGGCAGCTCTTCATTCTCCACGGCCATGAGGCTGCAGATTCGGTCTATCCGGACTGCATGGAGAATCGCTGTGGCCTAGACGCCCCCAGCAAGGAGCACAGTCAGCTGTCTGCCCTCCCCTTCCAGCTGCCATGCAGGTTAGGGAGTGGGTGATAGCTGCCCTGTGCAGGAGGGACAGAAGATCAGGCAGCCAATGCCTCATGGGACCCGTGGCCTGGGAAGGCCCTTGACACAAGCCATGCCCCTTTCCAGAGGTGTAGAGCTGCTCCATCCAATACAGTAGCCACTCGCCACAGGGGAGGCATTGAACACGTGTAATGCAGCGAGTTCACATTGAGATGTGCTTGTGAGGTAAAATGCACACTGGATTTTGAAGAGTTAATATGAAAAACTGTAAACTATCATAACCTTTGCATTCAGCTCTTCCGCATAAACCACTTTCAAGAAACTTATCTTTGTTTAGTCAGACCCATTCCCAGCTCAAAGAAAAAATAAAAGGATCAATCTCTGTTGAATCTGGGGCCATACAACCAAGGTTGAGGGGAGACACTTTAGACGTTGTATCAGGGTCTATCCATGCCAGCCACGCCCTGCCCACAGGTCAATGCCAGGTCCTCAGACTGGCAGCCCTCCATGCCATGAACCCTGGCCCTGCCCTCACCCTAGCTCGGTGGCCACTACACATGCCCGACAGGGTCCGTACTGCAGCCAACATCAGCTCAGGCCTCTTAGTGTCCAAAAGCTGCCGCAACAGGGCCACACCGTTGTTCTGGAAGATCCTCTCGGCCCCTGCTTCCTCACGGCTGAGAACAATGAGGTTGTTGGCCGCCTGAAGGAGGGAAGAAACAATGAAGGTCATGAGGGAAGTCTGGCTGCAGAGGCCTTGGCCATGAGCCAAGTGCAGGGGCTGGTGCAAGGACTAGGTCTTCAAAACATCTTTATATTCTTTTGCCCTATAATCCTACTCATGGGAACATAGCCCAAGAATATAATTCAAAACAAGAAACAGAGTAACTTGCAATAAAGACCAACTGCATGAAATATATTGCAGCCATTAAAGTCATGAATGAAAAGACTCAGAAGAAGCTTGGAAAAAACATTGGTAAGCAGAAACAGAATCACAGGTTCACTCTGATTGCACTTATGGTGAAATAAACCTGTGTATATATGCTTGTGGATAAGGACTTTAAAAAGGTAGGGAAATGTTAAATTAATTAAACAAGGAGGTGGCTTCAATGCCTAAGCAACTAAGTAAGCAAACCCAAACCACAATTGGCTGTACAGCAGAAATTAACACATTGCAAATCAACTATAATTCAATTTAAAAAAACACAAAACAAAGCAAAACCTAACCCTGTATTGCCTCAAGTTTAAGAAATCGAACCTTGAGGATGACCAGTCACAAACAGCTAACGAGCCTTTCCCAAATAATGCAACTGCTTCAGCTATAGCCAGTCAAATAATTCCCTTGTTTTGCTTCCACCTGTTTTCTATAAACGTCTTTTTCCTAGCTCCTGTCGGTGGAGTACCCCCACCACTTCTGTTTTCGCGCTGCCCAATTCAAACAGATTTTGCTCAAATAAATTCTTAGAATTTTTATATGTCTCAGTTTATCTTCTAACAGAAGTGAAGTGATTTCACATGGGAAATTATTTTTCCATGAAAAATGTTCTTCGGGGCTTCCCTGGTGGCGCAGTGGTTGAGAATCCGCCTGCCAATGCAGGGGACACGGGTTCATGCCCCAGCCCAGGAGGATCCCACATGCTGCGAGAGGCCACAGCAGTGAGAGGCCCGCGTACTGAAAAAAAAAAAAAAAAAAAATGTTCTTCGAATATGGTTTTGGCATTGTTTGTTCGTTTATCTGTTTAGGGAGATCTGAAGTTGCAGGGGGTTCTCAGGAAGGTTGAAGGTTGTGGGCAGACAGAGCACAAGATGGGATTTGAAAGCCCTGGGTTTGAGTGCTGATTCTGCCACATGCTAGCTGTGTGACCTTGGGCTAGTCATAGCACCTCTCTGGGCCCCAGATTCCTGTCTGTAAAAATAGACAGTTGAGCTGGGTTTTCAAGTGTCTTCCTACCCTAAAGCCTTCCTCCTTGAGGATGTATATACAGTCATCCCTCAGTATCCGCAGGGGATTTTTTCCAGGACCCCCACGGATAACAAAATCCACGTATGCTCAAGTCCCTTATATAAAATGGCATAGTACATTCGGCCCTCCTTAACCACAGGCAACCAACTGAGGATCGAAATTCCTTAAAAGGCCCCAGATCTAGAGAGGAGGCCTTGAACAGGCCCTGAGACCCTGGGGTTGGGCAAAGAACTCATGAGGCAGGAAAAGGAGGAGGTAGACAAATAGGTAGGGAGGCTGATTAGAGAATCCCAGGCAAGCATGAGCTGAACCATCATCGCTCTGTCAGTCAAGGACTTTGTACTTCTCGAACTACTTTCATCTATAACAACTTAAGTCCTCATAAGAGTTTGCTATAAAAGATAGCTGCATATTATATGGACTTATTGACCATTAAACTAACAAAAATTCCCCAGGCGTTGTCTGCCAAGTTCTTATACATATTCAGATATTCTTTTTTTTTTTCTCTGAAGGACTAGAAACGTTTTATTTTTTAAAATTTATTTAATTAATTAATTTATTTGGTTGCACCGGGTCTTAGTTGAGGCACATGGGCTCCTTAGTTGTGGCATGCGAACTCTTTTAGTTGTGGCACGCATGTGGGATCTAGTTCCCTGTCCAGGGATTGAACCCGGGCACCTTGCATTGGGAGCACAGTCTTAACTACTGGACCACTAGGGAAGTCCCTAGGAACATTTTAAAAATGCAGCAAATTTGGCTAAGAGGATGGTATTCTGAATAAAGATCTTCATATTTCAGAATGACTTGTTGCAATGATTTGAAATGGAATAAAACATTATTTTAATGTGTCATTGTTTCTCAGGGCCAAAAGTAGGGTGAGGCAAGAAAGACACCTTGGGTGCAAAATTTACGGGGCACCAAAAACCTCTGTAATCAAGATAAATGCAATGCATTTAATAAATTTGTATGTAATATGTAAATAAGTTTAATAAATTTGTAAATGCAATGCATTTAATAAATTTGTATTTAATGCAATGTTTTAAAATATCAAAATCAATTTTGTTTAGTTTTTCCAAGGAGCCTCCTCCCTGGCCTGCAACCTGTCGGCGATGTTACCGCCCAGACACAGGAGCAGAGTCTGCAGTGGAAGTGCAGTTACCTGGCAGGTCCCAAGACCACCCGCTGCCGGCCCAGCACCCACCTTCTCCAGCTTATCAGCTTTACTGTTTCCATCCAGGAGAATCTCAAACATCTTCTGTACCCTCGAGTCTGTGGAGAACTGCACACGGAGCTGAGGAGAGAGGAGGGAGTGGGGAAGAAGGCAGGCAGGGGTCCCCGTCATTCCAGTTGGCTCCACATAAAGTTCATCTCAATTAATAGCTTCCTGTCTCCCTCCATCATTCATTCATTCAACAAACATTTACTGAACAACTACTATGAGTCAGACACTGTATAGAATGGAGAACAAAGTCAAGTCCTTGCCCCACAAAGCTGACAGTCTGGTTATATTCGCCATCCCATTTGGTCTTCACAAGTCTTGGAAGGCAAAGGGTCATCACCCAGTTTTGAAGTCTAGTAAACAATTAGCTATTAGACATTTTAATATGGGCTAAAGGGCTTCCCTGGTGGCGCAATGGTTGAGAATCTGCCTGCCAATGCAGGGGACACGGGGGTCAAGCCCTGGTCCGGGAAGATCCCACATGGCGCGGATCAACTAAGCCCGTGCGCCACAACTACTGAGCCTGCGCTCTAGAGCCCGTGAGCCACAACTGCTGAAGCCCGTGCACCTAGAGCCCATGCTCCGCAACAAGAGAAGCCACCGCAGTGAGAAGCCTGCGCACTGCAATGAAGAATAGCCCCTGCTCACCGCAACAAGAGAAAGCCCGCGTGCAGCAACAAAGACCCAACGCAGCCAAAAATAAATAAATAAAATAAAATTTTAAAAATATATACGGGCTAAAACAGAAATATATCTCCAGGATCGGAAACCTGAAGCCGTTTCTAAGTACCTTTTCAAGCAAATTAAAACCATTATTTTTGAATGTCTCATCCCTCACTCTCCCAACCCCAGTGCTCTGAAGCTTTCATAAAGCGACCTAACAGATCCATCATCCCCCATCTTGCCAGCTCCATCTGCACCTCCCACTGCTTTTTTCTGCTGGTCTACAGTGCCACCTATTTCCATCACTCCTTAGTCTGTATTTTCTCAGCCCTTGAGTCTGCACTCTGGACAGTACGACATGGTCCCACCATGGGACTGCCCCAGGCACAAAGAAGTTACTGTGTCTTGGAGCAAGGAGCTGCGTGATCAGTTACCTTCCCGCTCTTACAGTGGGGAAAGCAACACCCCAAGGGGTCCCTCAGAAAATCGGTAGCTAAGCCAGTATTAGGGTGCAGGATTCCTCATCTCTGGTCCAAGTTCTCCCGACCCCACTCCACTTTCCTAGAAAAGATTCCCTGTTCCTACTGGTTCCTGGCTGTCCTCCATTCCCCAGCAATGCCCTTCCCCCAGGTCCTAGGTTTCTCCTGGCTGCCTTTGTCCCCCCAGAGAGGAAGATCATGGTGCAGACATACTGAGTTGCAGTTTTTTAAAAAGCCTCCATCTGGAATTTAAAAGACTGATGTTCTAGTCCTGGCTGGCTTGCACCCTCGAACAAGCATCACAGCATCTCTGATCACTCATCCAAGGATGTGGAGGTAGGCCAGCCCTGCCTGATGTCCCGCTCCCCTAACTGGTCCCTACTAGGAATGGGGAGAGGCAGCCAAGGATTATGCGCAGGGGTCCGGCTCACCTTCTCCTGGATGCTGGTGTTGAGCCTCCTCAGCGTCTCCTGGAAGTTTTGGTTCCGTGGCTCCAGGGTGGCACAGCATTGCACATCCTTGAAGGCCTGGGCCAACTTCCCCAGGTGCTCCAGTGCCTGGCATCGCCGATACAGAGCCTTGATGTCCGAGGAGTTGATGTCGATGGCTAGCAAGGGGGACAGGCAAGGCCTCAGGGGGCCGGGCTACAGACCACCTTCCCCTCCCCCACCGCTGCCCCCAACTGCAGGGCTTCTGTGCCTTCCTTGGAGAGTATGCATCCATGTAGACTATCTGGTCCAAGCCTCCCCTTTGTTAGGGAGGCAGTAAGAATTACAGTCTCAGGGTTGGGAGGGAGCTTAAGGGTCATCTTGTCTAATTCCTGACTCTCCAGTCTCGGCTCAGTGATCCCTGCCAAAGGCTCATCCAGCTGGTGCTTGCATACCTCCAGCAGTCCGGGAGCTCCTTCCTTCTCAAAGCAGACAGCTCCTTCGGAGAGCCCTTCCCTCCTCCCACCTGAAACATATCTTCCTGTAACTTTGCCCTTTTGTCTTGAGTCTAGCCCTGGAACACGTGAGATGAAATCCAATCCTTCTTCCGTGTGACAGCCTTTTAGGTATTTGAAGGCAGCTCCCTGTCCTACCTGGGAGTTCCTTCTCTGAGCTAAATATTGCCACTTCCCTGCTCTTCACAGGACGTGTTTCCATTCCCCTTTCCAGCTGGGTCCCTCCCTTCTGAACTCACTCAGACTATCTCTGTTTCTCCTAAAAAAAAGTGACCAAATCAAACCCCAACACGGACCTATGCAGAGGAGAATCCCCTTCATTCTGCATATTATAGCCCTAAAAATGCAGCCAGGAGAAGTGTTCCCATTTTGATCGTGCTCTTAAGCCTAAGTTCTCTCAGAAGTTGAGGCACTCCATGGCCAGCGTTGACGTATGTTTATTCCTCCTAGTGTCTGTGGAATGAAATAGTGCCTCCGTCTTCCCCTCAGGAAGCCCGGTCCCCACAGAGTGGACCAGGCTGATGCCCTGGTTATGGGAACCAGCCCTCTCCCCCCGCCATCCCATATGAACATATCCAAACTTCCAACAAACTGGCTGTGTCCTTACCGTGACAAAAGGATTTCTGGAAGCAACCTTCTAAGCAAAGAAGCTGCCCCAGCATATTTAACATGTAAAAACGTGACTTAGGGATGGCTTTTCTGGAGCTCTCCTTTCACATAAGGATGGTACATCTGAAGCCCCACCTACAATGCCCAGGATGGCGTTTATACAATTGGTCATCCCTGCGAGTGTCGAGAGCATCTTAGACTAAACAGGGATGCAGAAGGGGAGGGAAGGAGGGCAAGGCCCGAGTGAGGGGGGCTCACCTCTTGAGGCATCTGAAGCCGCCTGAACATAGCTCTCCTGAGAAACGGGGAAGGAGGAAACTTGGTTAATGTGGGCCCGACACAGTGACAGCCAGAGAGGGTCCCCGAGGCGAGAAGAGAGGGCTCGCTGGCAGCTGCCACTGTCAGAGGCCAGGGGAGCGCCCCTCACTGGGTATGGAAAAGTGGACGAGCTTTGGCATCAGGCAAACTCGGGTTTGAACCCAGCTCTGCTACTAACTACCTGGAGATCTTGGGGAAGTTACTGAGCCCTCCTCTGAGTCTTGAGTTTGTTATCTGTGATATGGGCATGGAAGCAGCAGCGACCTCATGGTCTGCAGTTGAAATGCCACGAAATAACCTATGAAAGGCCCCTGTCATGATGCCACTTCCCATGAGGCTGCTTCCCGCGGGATGAGAACTATCTCCATGGATGAATTTCTGTCTTCCAGAGGACTGGGTCAGGCAATGGGTACCAGAAAGCAGTGGGAGGCACCCTTCTCCAACCTGAGGGGTCCAGTGAGAGGGCTGGGTTGATAGGCGTGCCCGTCAGGATGAGGGGGCTGCCTCCATACCCCTGCATCCTAGCCCTGGCCCTCAGCTCCCTGCCCCTCTTCATCCCAGACCGTTTTCAGGCCACAGGCTGCCCGGTTCCGATAGAGCGTGGCCAGGAGGGCCTTATCCTTGGTCAGCTTCAGGGCTTGGCTATAGCTCTTTGCTGCGGCCTTGTAGTCCTGGCGCTGGAAATGCCGGTTGCCCTCCTCCTTCAGCTGCACTGCTTCTGCCTCGGCCATCTGCGGGGACAGGATGAGCTCCGTCTGGCCATCCCCTCCCTCCAGACCCGGGGCTGGGCTCCTGGCCTGAGGTCTGGAGCACCAGGTGCCCCATCGACCAGGATGGGAGGTGAGGATGCTGCCTGCAACAGACCCACCCGGAGCACCCGCGAATCCTTTGCCCAGAAGGACATCACAGCATTTGCTCGGAGTGTGGCCCGAGTTGAGAGGGGTCTCAGAGACCCTGTTCCTAGGGAACTCTGCTCAATATTATGTAACAACCTAAATGGGAAAAGAATCTGAAAAAGAATAGATACATGTATATGCAGAACTGAATCACTTTGCTGTACACCTGAAGCTAAGGCAACATTGTTAACCAACTCTACTCCAATATAAAATTAAAAAAAAAAATCCCTGCTCCCCCCTCTCTCTCCCTCCCAGCTAGACACACCAAGGGCCTGAATTCTCACTGCAGGCCTTAAAATTTCTGGGTCCCCCTTCTCCCTCCCCAGTCCAAGGAACCCTCCAGGCCAGCTCACTTTCTCACAAGGACAGTGTTCTCGGTCTGGCCTCCCCAGGGTGCTGCTCTGGTGCGTGTGAACCCCCAGCCAGCGTCAGTCTGCCCCTCCTAGCCCCCACCCAGGAGACTTTATCAGCCCTGCTAGTGGCTCCAGACCATATTTGGCCACAGGGGCAGGTGCCCCTGGAGTCTGTCACTGATACTCAGGGCCCTCCCCCTCCCCAGACTGGACAGTCATTACCACGTGGAGGGTCTGACTAACCTCTGCCCCAGCACCCCACTCAGGGGCAGTCCTGGGGGCACAGGCACTCATACCCCAAAGAGTGAGAGAAAGATCCAGAGGGACGGGAACCCCCCCAGCACACCCTCCCTCCCTCGGCATGGCTCTAATGCCGCTTACCCACCTCCATCTCAGATAAACAACCTCCTCTCCCCTCCCCCCCACCACTGCTATTTTGGGAGCAGAGTGACAGCTGAGGGGCTGGCAGACTTGGACACACAGAGCAGCTGCCCAGGTCCCAGACCAACTGGAGACATCCAGAAATGCCCTTCTGGAGGGAGGAGGGAAGAAGAAGGAGGAATGTTCCTTCCCCTCTTCCCCTTGGCCACAACTCCCCTACCCCTTCCATCTGTTGAAAATGTCCTTGCTTTACAGAAAGACCCATGGACTTGCTATCTCACTTTGGTGGAAGTGGATTGTTTCTTTGTTCCACTCTGCACATATTCTGTGGTTCCTCCCCGTCTGTATGGAGTGGCTATATTCAGCCTCTCTCTCCCATCAGACTGGGAGCTCCCAGAGGACGGGCTCTGTTCATCCCCCACCAGACTGAAATCTTCTCCCACAGCAAGAGCTGGGGCAACCTGGGAATTCCCTGAAACCAAGAACTGTGCCCCCTAACTGACTGGGACTTGCGGAGTCCCCCTCAGCAGAAGGGGGTCTTCCTGGGACAAAAGCTATGTATTCACTAAAAACTGAATCAGGGACTTCCCTGGCAGTCCAGTGGTTAAGACCCCATGCTCCCACTGCAGGGGTCATGGGTTTGATCCTTGTTCGGGGAACTAAGGTCCTGCATGTTGCTCCACGCGGCCAAAAAACAAAAACAAAAACAAAAACCCAAAACTGTGAATCACTATGTCGTGCACCTGAAACTTATGTAATATTGTAAATCAACTATACCTCAATGTTAACATTTTAATTAAATTAAAATTTTTTAATTAAAAAAAGAACAACAATGTATTCATCACCAGAAAGGGTCTCCCCTGGGGCAGGAATTGTTTCTCCTCATCCAACTGAGGGTTCCTAAGAGAAATTTATGAGGTTGTCCCTACTTGGATTTAGAATTCTCCCGCATTTCTGTGTCTCTGAGCCTGGGCTGTGGGCACCCTCCCAGAGGGCAAGGATAGCATCTCATGCAGTTTGTTTTCCCCTGGCACAGAGCCTGGAAGAATGAGTGCCCAATGCATGTTCCTAAATGGATGAATGCATGAAGTCTTTGTGCTGATGCTTTGCTTCACTTCCTCATTCTGTCAACTTCTCCCCTATACTTTCAAACTGAGAAAGATACTGCAGGAAAAAAAGCATAGGTGGGATCACTCACACTAGATTCTGCTCTTAGCTCTGTGACCTTGAAAACACAGCTCTGTGACTTTGGACAAGTTCTACTGCTCTGCTGGACACAAGATCCAGCCCTGATATATGTTTGTTGACTGAATAAATGAATGAATGGATGGGTGAATTCCCTGCCTTCATGGTGTCCCCAACCCCGGGTCCCTTTGTGGGCGGCTCTCTGTAGCAGTGACATAATATGGTAAAGGATCCTGCCATTGGCAGAGAGAGATCCAAGAGACCCTAGATTCAAATCCTGATTCAGTAATTCATTCCACAAGTTGCTTTTTTTTTTTTTTTTTTTTGTACGCGGGCCTCTCACCGCTGTGGCCTCTCCTGTTGTGGAGCACAGGCTCCGGATGCACAAGCTCAGCGGCCATGGCTCACGGGCCCAGCCGCTCCGCGGTATGTGGGATCCTCCCAGACTGGGGCACAAATCCGTGTCCCCTGCATCGGCAGGCGGAGTCTCAACCACTGCGCCACCAGGGAAGCCCCCCACAAGCATTTCTTAAGCATTTGCTATGTGCCAGAAACTGTGAATGATTATGGAAGCAGAGAACATTCATGGGGATAAGGATTTGTGTCTATTTTGTTCACTTACATATCCCAAGGGTCTGCAACAGTGCATGGTATGTAATAGGTGCTCAATAATATTTGTTGAATGAATGGATGAAAGACTTCCATGGATCTGTGATTTCTGAAGAATACCAAGGTGTTTTGAAATCAGGAAACATGACATTGTTTCAGAGGTTTCCCTGAGTAAATGATTGAATGAGTTACTGTACATAGAGCTCCTAGAACAGTGTCTGACAAAGACCTTTGTTAAATGATTGAATGGATATTTAAAGCAAGACCTGAAGAATGAGGAACTGTTCCTGTATGTATTCATCAGCTCAGGCTGCCATAGCAAAATACCACAACTTGGTGGCTTAAACAACAAAAAATTTTTATTCTCACAGTGCTGGAGGCTAGAAGCCTCAAGGTGTCATCATTAGGGTTGGTTTCTGGTGAAACTTCACTTCCTGGCTTGTAGACAGCCACCTTCTGCGGTGTATTCACACAGCCTGCTCTCTGTGTGAGAGCAAAGAGAGGTGTGGGGCAGCGGAGGGAGAGCACGCGAGAGCTGTTGTTTCTCCTCTTCTTCTTATAAGGACACCAGTCCTATCAAATTTGGATGCCATCTTTTTGACCTCACGTAACCTTTATTACATCCTCATAGAGTCTATCTCCAAATACAGTCACACTAGGGGTTAGGGCTTCAACATATGAATTGGGGCGGGGGGGTGTGCACAGGTCTGTACCAGTTCCAGAAAACAGCATGGGCAAAAGCACTTGGAAGAACTAAGAAATAGCCAGGAAGATTTGATCTTAAAGTGAGAGGAGTGGCTGGAGAGGTAAGGCTGAGTGCACCATTATAAGGAGTCTGATTTTTTCCTGCCTGTAATGGGAGCCATTGTAGGGTTTTAGGACAGAAAGTAACAGACCAGAGTTTTGGTTTGAAACGTCACTCTGGTTGCTGTGTGGAGAACGCACAGGAGGAGGCAGGGTAGAGACAGGGAGGAAAGTGAAGAGGCTATTGTAGGGACCACGGTTGACTCAGAGCAGAGTGTGGCAGTGGAGATGGAGAGAACAGATTCTAGATAGGTTCATGAGGCAGCATTGGCAGAGCTTGAGACTCCCTGGATGCAGGGGGGAGAGACAGCGAGAAAGAGAGAGAGAGAGAGATAAGAGAGAGAGAGGAACTGACAGGAAGATCCCCGGTTTCCGGTAAGAGCGCTCCTGGTCCGACTCTGCTTTAGTTCCTCATCTGTAACATGGGGTGAAAAGAGTTGTGAGAATTAAATGAGTTACATATGTAAAGCACTTAGAACAATGCCTGATACATTGCTCTACACTGTTGAAAACTGTAGGAATTTTTTGCTTCTGTACGCATCAAGTTGTTTTTTTTGTTTGTTTTTTGTTTTTTTTGCGGTACGCGGGCCTCTCACTCTTGTGGTCTCTCCCGTTGCGGAGCACAGGTTCCAGACGCACAGGCTCAGCGGCCATTGGCTCACGAGCCCAACCGCTCCGCGGCATGTGGGATCTACCTGGACCGAGACACGAACCCGTGTCCCCTGCCTCGGCAGGCGGACTCTCAACCACTGCGCCACCAGGGAAACCTCGCATCAAGTATGATTAATTTATTTGATCCATTTATTTGAGGCCAGGCGCGGAGCGACACTTCCCCTCCTCAACACCAGAGGGCGATGTGGCGGATTGCAGCACCGCTGGACCACGGGGGCGGCGCTCCGTCCCGCCGGAGTTTTCCCTTCCACGTGGGGACACAGGATGGCGGCGGTGGTGGCGGTGGGTGGGCCTGACTGGGGGCGGGGGCGCCGCGGCTGGGCGCTCGGGCCGGGGTCCCCGAGGCCGGAGGGAGGCGGAAGTTAGGGCCCTTCGGTCCGGGCGGCGTGCATGACGCCCGCCGCGCTTGTCCACACAGGACGAGGCGGCGACGCGCGACGTGCAGCGACTGCTAGTGCAGTTCCAGGATGAGGGCGGGCAGCTGCTGGGCTCCCCATTCGACGTGCCCGTGGACATCACCCCGGACAAGCTGCAGCTCGTGTGCAACGCGCTGCTGGCCCAGGTGAGCGGCGGGCCCGGCGGAGGGCGGGCGGCGCTGCCCTGGTCGGGGACGCAGGGAATCAGGAGACCGAAGGTCTCGGGTACATCCCCACTACTCTCCCACAGGGGTGATAACAACCCGGCGGTGCCGTCTGCCTTGGGGAGGGTCGGAAGATGTGATCAGTGTGAGAGCGCTTTACGCGCCCACCATCGCGAGTTCACCCGCGGAGAGAGACCGCGTTTTGAACGCATTGGGTGCATCGTAACAGTGATTCCTTGTCACAGCTCCTCATTATATTCCCATTGTCATTAATATCCCCATTTTACAGTGCTGCCTGAGTCCATTCAGTTATTTGTCTGGCACTGCGCAGTAGGTGGTAGATTGGGAGTTGGAAGCCAA